TTAAGAACCAGTGGACGCCTCTGGCTAAGAATCCACGAGAGAGTTGTTCTCGAATTATGTCCGTGATTACTATACGTTTTGGTGACATTAACTATCGCTATGTCACTAGATAGCCGTGTATTTTAGGGACATCGATATCGATTTGAAGAGTCTAGTAGTGTTATAAAACGAACTGACGGCGCATTGTATGAAATTAATCCTTGAATTATTTTTTATTCTTTAAACTAAGAATGTCCCGAGTAAATACGATTAAAAAAATTAAGATTTCTACATGATGAATTACAAAATTGACAAATGCGTTATTGTTTCCCTTCCACAGATTGTCATTTTGCATTCTTAGATTTCCATAGTTTGAGTTTTATTGTGTTATTTTTATATATATGAAGAAGTGTTTATTCTGTTTAAATTTTTCATATGATTATAATGCTCGCAAAATTAACCAAAGTCGTACAGGTGCCCGATGTACGTAGCTGACACCCACACGGGTAATTGTACCTTTAACATCTGATTATAGACACAGTATGCTAAACATGTATTTCGCTGCATCATACAGCTTTCTCGTCCGTGTAGGACCCATCGGTGATGCTAGAGGTCAAACAGTAGGAAGTTCAGTATCAGTAACAATTAAGGTTTTCACATGTCACCTTAAGTCATTGGTGTCCTCACAAAATATCATGTCAGACAATAAAAAGAACAGTGTCCAAACAGCAGTTAAGGTCATATATTCATAACTACGTCATGCACAGGAGACGACTCCACTAATGGACAGACACTTATAGCATACCCTGGATAAGAATTCATAAATGATTTAACCTTGATTAACCATCCGATTAAATTGTATGCATGCTATAAATGTGACAAAATAAACTGGATAATTGAATAAATTTACTTTATAAACCACCATAAAAAACGTTATTTCGACCACCCAGTCGGTCACATTATTCCTTTGTGGACTGAATAGAGGTAGTTAATGTCATTAGATATACCACCGCAAAGAGGGTAGTTAAACAAATAAATAAACTCTAAATAATATCTTCTTTTTATTTATATATTTATTTAAAATGGGACAGCAGATCGATGTTGGCCTTTTTATAGTGGCCTTAAAAGCGATTGTTTGATTATTAAGGGCTTAATATCCTACAAACAGCTGAAGGTAATTTAAGGACGCGCCTCCGTGTGTGTTGTGTATGCGTGCATGAGTGTATGTGTGACGGAGGCAGGTTGTGTTGGTGTATTTGTCTCCTTGTGATAACGCAGACCTGATGCCGACGTGATAGTGCTATCTCACTGAAACTCCATGCCGAAGGCACACAGCACAGCATTTCATACGGACACATTATACTGACAACGGGTAAACTAGTTGTTGCCATTACCCTAAACGCTTAACGTGAAGCAGGTAATAACAAATAAATTTTTAAGGAATTTGGTATGTTCCCGCCTAGAGACAGAACCTATTGCCTTCCCCGCCTGGCCGAACGCTCAACACTAAAGCCAAAAGTCAGGTATTGCCTAGCACGGCACTAGGAAGTAAAAATTAGATGGGAGCAGACAGAATTATAAAGATCCCAATTACTGTGATGGGTGCATCACAGTAAGTTTGCTTTTTTCTCTTCAAGTACAGGACACCAAATCCAATCCCCAATTCTACAGGGGGTTCCCGCATTTGCCGCCTCCTACGATCATGCATTCGGTAACATTCCTTTCCCGACCCCAACCTGCTGAGTTTGGCATTAAAGGAGAAAACACTCGATTCTGCATCTGGTCCAATGTTATCCAATCGCCTTACACAAACCAATCACAATATAATACACATGTAGATATATGCATTTACATGTATTAAATCTTTCATTACCATATGTCATTACCATCGTTCATCTTTACCTGTTTCAGCCAAAGTTCAAGTATTACGAAGTACATATGTCAAAACTCCTTGCTGTTTTATTATGCAGGTGTGCATTTTCTTTAGTCGTAAAATTGTCATTAAAATAGATCATTAACCATTTCTTTTGCAATAATATAAGTGGTTGTTAATTTATTTCTGTACAAATAAAATCGTTTTTTTTTCTTCAACCAAGTTACTCAACTTCCCACTAACAAAAAGAATTAACGTCAAAATCTGTCATGCTCTTGAACATATGAAATAATTTTATGCTGTTTTGGTGACTTTTATAAAACTTGTTATTGTGTTTGGCATACCTGTCTCAGATGGAATCATAACAATGTTTGTATGTTTTTGTTGTGGCATCGCATCATTTGCTGTTTCTATAATACAAAAAATCTCCTTCCTCAAGGCTCCGTTCTTGGTATTTTGCCAAAATCTTATCTGAAATGTTCATTTGTTTTTGTGACATTCCTATAATCTTTTATAAGGTTTGGCATATCATTTGAGGCTAATTGTTGAACCTTATGGCAAAAGGATTACTTGTGGTATCGCCTATAGCTGCTTTTTGTTTAATGCCTGTACCACAAGGCTCCATTTTTGGTTTTCTGTAATAATTTGTAAAGCTTTTCTTATTATGAGAGATGCTACCTTTTTCGTCAAAATATCAAACCCAACAAAGAGTCGTAAATGATCATCTTGGGGAAAAACAACCACTTGCTTTGAAAGATTTAATCCTTAAAATATAAAATAAAAATTTGCTAATCAAAGTCTTTAGTTATGAACTTAACAATACAATATGGACAGACTTTTTCAACCACCATAAACAGGAGGGTATCACTCCTGGTGCAGATTGTAAATTTAATAGGTGTATCGGACGTATCTGTTCTAAAGCAACTAAACAACAAAAACCATTCCACAACTAAACTGCATACTATATGGAAACCCACTATACAAAAATATTAAAAACCTTTATTTTACCAAACTTTGAATAAGGACCATGGAGGGAATTTTATTTTTTTTTTTTTTTTTACAAAATACATAAAGGAACAGAATAGTCTCCTATCTATGTAACCAACTCCATCCACGATAGAAATTAAGGACTATCTAATGATAATCTAAGAAATACACTGTACAGTTAATCATACATTTCCACTTAATCATAGCATAACTTAAATGTCTCTTTTCAATTCTGCCATTAGTAGAAAATGATTTCCTGTTATGAATTCTCCAAAAGTAATCTTAAAGAACGCTATGTTATTTCTCCACTACCGCGCCACTAGCACACTGGATATTATACAATGTACACTAAACATGGTCCCGACAAAGACCCGGATCTAAAACGTCATATTTTGACTACTGATGGCCAATTAACAACACAAGGTTTCTAAAGATTGATGAAGATTATTGACAAGTTTGATGGTCTCCCTGCGGATCTCGCACGGGAATATGTTATTTCTTTGTGTGGTATGAAGGTCGATGTCTGTGATTTTTCTCATTAAAGAGCCCTGTGGTTTTGTTGGCATTACATGCGTTGTCGATGTGAGAACGGGACGTTACTTGGATTCGACTTAGATTTACATGGCGGGTGTCATCGGAGAACTCTTACCCTTCCGGAACACCTAGTCTTATTCTTCTTGCACGTTTGCAAGGGTCTCCATGTACATATATCGTTTGTTCAAATTTTGCCTCAGTTTTATCGGTTTCATTTCGAATGATAGTTTAGCAGACACTGCGGGTTTCTTGGTTGTTTTTTGTCTATAATTAGAAGAATACAGAACAGGCATGAGGCGGAAGGGTTTTTTCAGTGGTGACACTTTACCTTTTGACCGTGTCACATAATTTAAGCGAGTTCCAAAAAATCTGAGCATAAAAACCATAGTTAAGAGTAAGAACGGCTATAGGAATACGGATGAAGATAATAAAAGCCAGGGCAATGCGTGCAGACTACATGTTTAGATCATGCCAAATAAGGCCAAGAAAAAGAGACCCACCAGACCACTGAAACTAGACCGAAGACACCAGACATTGTTTTAGTGCATACGATAATTCTTTTTCATAATTATTTTAATGCATTTGACGTCAACTTGTTTGCTCGCTTCAATAAGATAAGAGATGTGTATTTGTTTCCATAACTTATCGGTCCAGTAAATAAAGAGGTTGACAAATAATCCTGCGTAACATTATTTATACTGTGAAATATGCAATCTGTGGTAAAATGACAAATAGCTTTGAAATACAGCACAGAATATAGACTCATATTGCCATAGTCCCCAGCGTCATAACAAAAGAAGGATGATATGGATACTTTAAAGAAATGGGTATATGAAATGAGTTCACAATGTCACAACAAATATTTATAAAAAGGCCAAGTAAACAGCTCTTTATTATTTTTAAACATTAATTTCTATAATAATTCAACTAGGTAAATATTCAATTTTAGAGCGGTCGGGGAGCAAGCTTTAAAAATTCCTTCCAAAACAAATATTGAAACGTACTACACTTTATCGAGCTTAATTGGAAGTAAAGTTAAGGGGAGATTGTTAGAAAGTATTTCAGAGCACTGTCAATGGACACTGATGCATTGGTTGCAGTACGGGTTGCAACGCATTTGAAGCGGATATTCCGTTCCGTGTTCCGTTTTATATCTATTTACACAGATTGGTAACCGCGGATTAGTAAGCAATGCATGCTTTCTGTATGCTAACTCTACAGACATCGAGGTCGTTTATTTATCATTCCTTTGACAGTTTATATATAGTCGCCCATCATAATCTGCTGTGTAATTTTGAAGTATTTAAATTTAAGAATTCGAGATATTCCTCGTATTTGTTTCAATGTCAAAAAAGTATTGACTGTTTGGCGGAAAACTACAGCATTATTTGAAAATGTTCATCACTATGTTAAACTCGCACCTGTCGGCTCCATACATCACACTCTTCCTCTCTCGTGCGGATCTTATATAAATTTTCTAATACACGCCTCCTTGGTGCGAACACATGCTTAAAGTGCAGCAGTATAGATAACATTGCTCATAATATGGCATGGTCAATTACGTTAGCGTCTGATACTGAATGAAACACTTAAATCAATGGTAAAGAAAAGGTTTTTAACAACTTACCATACGGAACTGAGTGTTCCACATAAGCTGGGCAATCCAAATAGGCTCTACCTCCCGCTCTTGTATCGTCAAAACATCCAAATCCGTCCCACGTTCGGGGACAATACCCCGACTTTGGTGACGTAGAACCCATATTCATTTGTCGTTCACAACACTTTACTGCTGCGTCACAACATGTTTTCCACCATTCACATTTCTCCTCGTCCATTGTACTACAAATGCTGTTTATCGATGACGCGTTCCTCATGTCGGGAATCACAAGAGTTCCAGGTTCGAGTCCGGACTCTGGACCTGCCAGGAACGCAAATCCTTCTGGTTCCGAGATAGGCACTTTGAAGAATTTGGCGTCCATTTTCATAATGTAATTATAACACAATGTACAAGACAATAATTTGAATACACCAAGGGTGTGGTTACCACTGCTCTCGCGACAAAACATGCTGCTAGAACAAATATACAGATTGGAATTTAGAAGCTGTTCTCCTCAAGACAGTACTCCGCTTGTATCTCAGTATACCGTAGACGTGTGATGGCTCAGCAGTGGGTTTATTTTATGGATGTTGTATGTCCCCGAGGTAGTACTACACACATCATCTGTAACATAAACAAAATACCTGATATTAAGGATAATTTCAATCCAACGGAATCACGTCTTATGGCGTTTCAAAAACAAAACAGCAACAAAACAAATCCTTTTTTTTTTTACAATCCAGTACACTTTTAATGCGACACTTTCTTGAAATAATATATTTTTAAACAGACAAGGTACTGCTAACGTGGCTGCGATAAGTCATTGCTTATTATGGAAATAACGAACGAGCCTTTGCGTACATAACGGCAAACATTACAGTTGTATAGATATCTAGTATTCATCTGACCTTAGTGACAACAGGAAACAATCCAGACGCAGAAACATAGTGACTATATATCATTTGGAAGTGTAATCGAGACATTAGCAGATTTAACTTTACAGACGATGTATAAATGCCGGTTTAACGTCATGCCTGTTTCTACAGCACAGGTGTTGCTCTTACCACTGCTCTTGTGTCTGAGTGCACTGACTGCACAAATGCTGAGTGATCCATTAACCGCTGCATGTGCAATGGGTTTGTCTTGTAACTAGGGCAACGCTTTGACCATGACCGACCTTTACATATCTCCGCAATATTACAGATAAACTAGGGAGAGGAGCGTATGACGAGCCATCATTAAAGGGGGATTTTCCAAAATGGCCTTAACCTTATCACAACAAAAACAACCATGAAAAATCGTACGGTTTGGTATACAAGAATTATAGAATGAAAAATTCTGTATTTTACATTAAAGTTTCTCCAAATGGTTCGATTATGCTCACATTATGGACAATAAATATATGTTTTTTAGCATCACATGAAAGAAAATGTTCCTTCCTATGTATAATGATGAAAGAATATATTTTTTCAGAAAAATATTTTCAGGCTGATATTCCTTTTTTCGACCTCAATGCTGTAATTTAGTTCATCAATCATCTAAGTTATTAGTAGAGTGATTCAAAGTAATAACTCTAGATGTATAAGGAATTGAAGAATGTTAATACAGCAGCATGAATCTCGTAGCACTTCTGAAACGAAAGTGATGAGGGGGCAGGCTCCTTTGTAATTTAAAAATAGCTAGAAATAGTCTTATTCAAGGAAAACTTGTAGATCACGTATTTTATAAAGTTATATAAGGCATCTCATATTACATATACAATATATAATACATTAGATATCGTGTAAAGTATGTAAGATATATCAAACAGTGTATGAGATGCCTGATAACTACACATCATATATGGTAATAAGACATATAATATCTAATACATAAGCAAGGTAACTACTACATATCACACTGCGGAAGTCCTTTAACGTTTATGTGATCGCTTTTCTTAAATATATTGTATTATTTGGTTAGATTACTTAAACACTTATCAAAATCTACTTTCTGAAATTTATCAAGTAAGAGTAGTACTACATGTATGTTATGGCTTGTCACCTCCGATGTTTTAATAATATACCAGTGATTCTTGTAAGCCACTATCCCAGTGTGTTTCCATGCAGAGGTGTAGTTTTATTCGCAAACCAGGTTAATTCTAAAGTCTATACAAGGATTGACCGGATTCTTCTTCCTTCAGGCGGTAATGAGTTGTGACTAAGAAAAGGGAAACCCTGTCAAGCCAAACACATGACACTTACACAGCTAAAAGGGAGAAAATTCTTGTTAACACTCTAGGTCATCTGTAACACTTTATGTTGTCCTTATCTAACATAAGGACACTGAGGAACTGATTTTTTCTTGTTTTATCTCACTGTTTTAATCGTGAGATAACCAGTGGCTAGAATCCATATATAAACAGTGAATGCGTCACAGGATGTAAAACGTGCGCTTATCACGTGCACCCGTGGTCATCACGAGCGTGTCATTACAGACATTAGTAAAAAGTCCTATCGCAATCATTGATACATCTGGTTCACTTCAACCGGTTCAAAGTCAATTAGATTTTCTACATAAAACTAAAATACATATCTCTTTATACAACAACAGAGAATTCACTTCTATCTATGATGAGACACTCCAAGCATACATGGCGTTGACGCAGGAAAGGTCCGGGATTCATGCTTTGTGATATCGATAGAAACAGTATTTTCGATATGCTGGATTTCTATCGTAAATTCTGTTAAAATTTGCATTCTTTGATGTTATAGGGCGTATAAAGCAGGAACAATGAATTGAAACAAACAACCATTTACTTCTTGTCATTGTTTGAATCATACTGCGATTACTGTTATATTATTTCAACTAATACACACGTAATACATACATACGTGTCAACCTATGACAAAGGTACAGATATAACAGATTTTTTTAATTGTTTTTTTTTATAAATAAAACTTTTGAAGATAAACTATAAAAGCAAGTAATTGATTAGTTGAAGGACATGTGATTAAATGAGTATTTATATAGCCAAACAGCGACACTTTGGAACGGTCGGTATTTGTTCGATAAACGAGCCAACGGAATAAACAGGATACAGACAACAGTGAGGAGATGCTACAGACAACATGGTGATATTCCTGATTACTGGAAGTTCCAAAATAAACAAAACAACAGATAGTAATCAATATTTCTCCACAAATCGCAACAACTTCGATTTTGCAATCGTCTTCTATTACGAGGGATTATCAATATAATACAATTGACTTCGATAAAATGCCGATTGTTTTATCTGCCATCTCGATTACCGCCTATATATTTCAATGAACTCTTTTCCTTTAATCTTAACAATCTTTCACATGTTTTCCTTGTTTTTAGTTCAAACATATTTATTTTCCGAAATCATTGACAATGGATTGGGGAGACGTTATAGATGCATTATGAACACTCTCTCCTCTGATATGCACATAAAACAAACATTGACATAACTAGACTGAATTTACGTTCATGAAAATATTAAAAGGAAACAAGAAAAAGCAGCAACAAAGAGATTTTAAAAAGGCAAATAAAACTTACTGCTGGAATTTACATAGTTTTTGCACATTTCGAAATACTGTCGTTTCCTATCAGTAGTTGTAAGCTGACGCATTTGCTTACCAGACAATCCTTAAGCTTTTTATTCAATAATGAGTCAAAAGGCCTTACATAACTGTATGTCACAGAAACCCAAACATGCGTGCTTCCTTTCATCCAAAGCTAAATAAAATAAATACAACGATAACATTCTAAGAGTTCGTATGAAGCCGACTGATGATCCAACGTAAACCAGACGAGTGCGCGTACACATGAAGTTTTATATAAACCTCGTTATGAATATGCTCAAAAACTACTCCTCCCTAAACCTCCCCGCAGTAGAGAGCAAAGCTTTAGGTCGATAGTTAGACAGAAAGTAACTATCACCGTTTACAAGCTTGATCTTACACGTTGTTTATCAATTGATTCGTTTAAAAGAGTATCATCTGCAGATATCATACAGTGCATTTAACATTTAGTTGCTTACATCGTCGATTTCAGAAGCTCTACATTATTTCAAAACTTGAAAAACATCACACATTTCCTTAGCAGTTGAACGTTTTTTTCGATCCTTTTCCAGTAAGACATAGGGTAAGAACGGGGATATTGACCCGTAAAACCAACGGATATTTGTAAAAATGTTTAGACACGCAACAACTTTGAAATCCCAGAAGTTATGTTCACTAATGTTCCCTGTAGTCCTGGAATATATCATGATATAATTGAAGGCACGCGGCTAGTTATTTGAGCTTAAGTGAGCACAATCTCTGTATATTCCAGGACGGACAAGCATGTTTCTGTATCTCTCTATATTGTTTTTATTTAGCGCTGAGATCTAGTCTATCAATATCTATGCTTAGGGTCTACTCAAAGATCAGTACACTTCATGCAGTTCATCACGAAATCGTATTTGCATTCTTCGTTCAGAAAAAAGACATCAAAGTTGCGGAGTGGCTGAGCAATCACTTTTTTTGGAGGTTCTTCTGGTATCACAAATCCTCTTTATATTTTCCCTTGACAAAAGGTGGCAGTATAACACAGTTTTAATGTCCATCGCAAAAATGTAATGTGGTATTCACTGTTCATGTAATCGCCTGTATGCTACTAGAACCACTGGAGGCTTAAACTGCGTGTAAAGGGAAACTCCTACTGGTTACGTGTACGCACTACAAGAACACAGTGACTTTATACAATTTGTTGTCACGTAATTAAAAACGGTCTATAACAGATTTTACTCGTTTGGTTCTAATGTCAGCAGCTTTACAAATATCAATATCAATAGTACTGATTAACGTTGATATCAACAGCTTTACAAGTGTCAAATATCAATAGTACTGTTTAACGTTAATGTCAACAGCTTTACATGTGTCAAATATCAATATCAATATCAATAGTACTGATTAACGTTACTGTCAACAGCTTTACAAGTGTCAAATATCAATATAAATAGTACTGATTAACGTTACTGTCAACAGCTTTACAGGTGTCAAATATCAATATCACTGATTAACGTTACTGTCAACAGCTTTACAAGTGTCAAATATCAATATCAATATCAATATCACTGATAAACGTTAATGACAACAGCTTTACAAGTGTCAAATATCAAAATCAATATCAATAGTACTGATTAACGTTAATGTCAACAGCTTTACAGGTGTCAAATATCAATATCAATATCACTGATTAACGTTAATGTCAACAGCTTTACAAGTGTCAAATATCAATATCAATATCACTGACTAACGTGACTGTCTACAGCTTTACAGGTGTCAAATATCAATATCAATATCACTGATTAACGTTAATGTCAACAGCTTTACAAGTGTCAAATATCAATATCAATATCACTGATTAACGTTAATGTCAACAGCTTTACAATTGTCAAATATCTATATCACTGATTAACGTTACTGTCAACAGCTTTACAAGTGTCAAATATCAATATCAATATCACTGATTAACGTTAATGTCAACAGCTTTACAATTGTCAAATATCTATATCACTGATTAACGTTACTGTCAACAGCTTTACAAGTGTCAAATATCAATATAAATAGTACTGATAA